CAACACTGGGGCTTGAAACATTTGAACATCTCATAGAGCTTTGTTCAATACATGAATATATGTGAAAAAATTAAGCAAAAAATGACCCAGCTGCAAGCTGACCGAGACACGATTTCCACCTGAAGTGATGAAAACTATACAAGCAGTCCAACTCTGGTTACAATGGCTTGCTGCACCCAAGGAATCTGGTGTTTTTGAAAGAATGGCAAAAAGGAAGTCATACCTTTTTGCAGTTTGCTACAAGACATACGGGAGACACACAACCCATATGTATTCAGAATAGATCAACATTGAACTTTTTGGCCCAGATAAAAAATAATATGTGTGGGAGAAAGCTAACACTCTAAAACATCCCCAAGTGGGAAACAGAGAAGTGGCCGTATAGTGCTTAGGGAATGCTTTTACTGAATGAGGAAGCTGATCAAAGTTGAAAGTGCAGGAGGATAGAACCAAATGTAGGGAAATCCTAGCAAAGGAAAAAGACTTGAGATGGGAGACAAAGGCTTACCCTCCAATAGGAGGAGGATGCTAAACATTCATCAAAGCAAAGAATGGTCTGCTCAAACTCAAGAGAATCTTAATTAACGCACTTGTGCTTGTTGCCTTCCGTTATCCGGGACCTGGTAATAAGGATAGCAGTTTTAGCAGAGACGGCCAGGTTTCCCTCTCTTCAAAAAACTTTCTCCAGTCCTCTAGGTACTATGTCTCTCTGCGTTTCAGGTCAGTAGAAAGACATAGCCCCTCTAGTATGTCCTGGGCCATTCTAATGGGACATGCCTTGAACACCTCCCGAGAGGGATTCGAAACAGATCTCTGAGCTACCTCAGCTGAATCAGTTTGATGTAAAAGTGAGGATTCTTTGAATGGCCAAAATCCGAATCCCATCTATTAGGGAGAGCCCTAATAGATAGTAAAAAAAATTATTTCAGCAGCTTGTATCCTGGACCTATTGGTAAATCGAGAGCTTTCCCTTTTGGCTCAGCTCTCTCTTCATCACAACAGACTGGTGCAGCATCCACATCACAGTCGCAGCCGCCCCAATCTGTCTCTCGATGTTATGCTCCACTCTACTCTTAGTCTTCAACAGAACCCAGAGATACTTGACCTCCTCTCACCTAAAGAGAACAGATGCATGTTACCGCCGTAATCCAGTGGTGCCAGCCAAGGGGCACCATCCATGACCAACACGTGTCCACCATGACAGTCCTACAACTTCCAAAGAAACAAGTTATTTAGGGTGAATCTCATCCACTCTTTATGCCAACATAAAATCTTTTGACCACTCGAGTGATTTCGTCTTGGGAAATTAACAAGTCCGGCTCCAAGCACTCAGTCTCTACTTCCACCACGGAGGTGTTGAAGGGTTGAGACCTTCCTGAGTATTCCCTACATTGTCTGACAACATCCTCGGTTGAGCAGTTCCCCAAAGGGTCATTTGAGACTGACTGATGGTCCTCCCCAATGGACTTACAAAATACCTCCCAGGATTTTGCCTTTGTAACCCCCCAGGTAGCTGCACACTTGGTTTCATGATACCCTGTTCAGTTTGACAGCGTCCCTTACTGTAGGTGTCCACCACCAGGTTTAGGGGTTGCTGCCAAAACAGGTATTGCAAACTTTAGAGCCACAGCTACAGCAAACCCCAATTATCAAACTGCAAATGTGCAGCAACACCTAAATATAGATTTACAGAAACATCAATATCTGGATGTGTAAAGCTGCTAAAAATATACTCCAAGAGCCCCCCTGAGTCACTTACTGTGACTCAGGGGAATTCAAATACACTCAAAAATTTTTAAAATACAACTTCGAAAGAAAATAAAAATCATGTATCATCACAAAAAATTTTAATAAAATTCATGGGAACATTACGAAAAGTTAAAAACAAATGTGCAGAAGTGTTAGAGTAATCAACTAATGCTTGTGGGAGAGTTTATGTTAATGTATGCATGTATAAAGAACCTGCGAGGGGGGGACATGTGTAAGTACTATAGGGCCCCTCCCTTCTCACCGAGACACACAGATATTCAAGTTCGGGTTGCGCTGGCTTTTGTCTCAGAGGAAAAGGGGAGGAGACTCTGGAGTGGTTGACTGGATGGGACACTTTGTCCCCTCATTTTCCCAAAATGAAAAAAAAAAAAAGAATCCCTCCGCCTCATCCAGCTCCCCTTCTCCCCATCACCCCCAGCCAGTGCAGTACCACTGTATTGTCTGCTCTCAGGCGTGCTGCTTGTTGCGCGCCTTCTGTCCTGCTGTGCTGAGTGCTCCACAAAGGAGCTCTTTTAAATATGCAGACAATCCAGGATCGCTTGCACACACACACACACACACACACACACACACACACACACACCCCTACTTGCTTCTTTCTACACCGTGGCTAGATCTGGTCTGGGAACGTTTCCTTTTTTCATGGAGAATCAACAAGTCTGAGACATGAAAAGGATACAGGAGGCACACGCTTTGAATGAACGCTTTGTGGTGCGGCCGCCCCTGTCGAGGCTAAAAGCTGGAATACTGTTTGTCATGCTGCCATTGTTCATACAGTATATTCAACCAGATGCCTTTCTAAAGTCACAAAAATATTAAGTTTCTTTTGTTTGGTAAATCAAAACAATATGAAAAGTTTGGTATTTCTTTAAAGGTCATCTTTTTCTAGCTAGTTTTTTGATAGTTGAAGCCTAACAAGGCCAGACTGGGTGTTGCTGCTAGAAGTAGAAAAAATGGTTTACAAATTCAAACATCAGGACGGCTCCACATGTCCACATGACACTCTCCTCTTAATCTCCTCCTCCTCCCTGTGGTACAGCAGCCCTCCATGGCAGCTTTGCAGAGTGGGCTCCCCTCACGCGATGCAGCAGAGTGCAGGGGCCCGGGCCCCAGACAGGAGCCCAAGCTGGTCTCAGCCTCCCAACATGTTGAGCTGGCCCGCCTTGGGCACAGCCAAATGGTTCTGCAGCTGCCCCTTTGTCCCCCTTCCTTAAGTAAACAAAGGACAGAAACAAATTAATGACCTACATTCACGGCAAACCTCGCCGAGACAGAGAGGAGCGCAGTTGTCTGCAAGCAGATGTTCACTCACAACACTGCAGACTGCAATTAATGATCATGAAGCAGAGCACAATCAAAGGAGATGTATTCTGAGCAGGCCGAGAGATGACTGAAAGGAGTGCAGGTAGCACAAATGTGACACTTCTTAGAAAACTTTGAACAGCAGCTGAGAAGTAAGCATTTTTTTTTTTATGACACAAAGTAACATAAACATATGTGAGCATATTCAAACCTACCCTATCATGTTAAATGCTCACTATTTAACCAGTGGGCTTCATTATGTGCTCCATCTGGACACTAAAATGCTCTATTTAAGATTCCCATGGAAATATCACTTATAAAAAGGAGTTTTCAACTTAAATTCCACTTTTAGAAAATAAACTTTCTTACTAAATAAAATACAAGCAAAAAAATAAAATATGCAAATGAGATTTTTTAGGGAAAGTAGGTTCCAGTCAAAATGACAAAGTACATTTTTTCCTCTTTTAATGCAAAAAATTATATAGATGCTTAAAATGATAAAACATGATTTTTTAATACCAATTGATAAAAAAATTAGAATAAAATTATAATTTCCTAGGGTGGGGCATTCAAGAGCAATTGGATTGTAGACAATTTAATACAGAATCATGAAAGATTGTTATTGAGTTATTTATGTTTTTCAGTTTAAAGGATATATGAAGGATTTGAGAGGCTTAAATATATCCTCAATATTCACCAGACTGAATTTTATACCAGTTGCATCACTATTTTAAAAGATTAGCTAATAAAATTATTTTTGGAGTAAACTTTTGTGAAACAGTTACTTTTTTTTTTTTTTTTTTTTAGTTTCTCAAACTAACATTAAGGTGTTCATCAGACAGAGGACAATGTCATAAAGATTAGAAGTGAGCTTATCTCGTGGGTGTGCGTTGGGGGCTTACCGAGGAGACCATCTGTAGCCTAATGAACGCTGCTCCTTGGCCTGCGAGTGCAGGGGCTTTTAATGCATCTGTAAGAGCAGCAGGTTTACTGAGCAGCAAGACATTAGCTAAAGCTGATTTCTTTACTGGAAGCCCGGGCTTGAGGATCTTTCGAAAGAGTGTTGTGTGTGTGTGTGCTTGTTGCAGGGGATTGAATCTGGACAAGCTGCTGCACATTTTCTCCTCAAGCGCAGCCTACGTTTCAGCCAGATTTACATGAAGTTCTAGGTCCAGGCACTGATCTCAGAAAGGCTGGATCTGGTGCGTGCATGTACGTGGCTTCCACCCACATTACAAGTGACAGAAGGACAGGATGCCAGGGCCTCCCGCTAGGTCCCTTCTGCAGCATGACACCCAGTATGGATGCAGAGTGCTTGAAAAGATGAGCTTTCTGGTTTTGTGGTTTAACAGCATGATCAAAAAATTGTATTTTTACCTTATTAGTCTTATTAAAAAAAAACAACAACAAAAAAAACACTTTTGAATAGCCTTAATTATCCACACTTTATTCTTAAATGCATAATAACTGATTAGTTATGTTATTTTTATTTATCATTAGTTATTTATCATTAATCGTATTTAGATTTTCTTATCCAAACAGAACCGCTTTAAAAAGCATAAGGTTTTTAGGGAAATAGAAGTTGTTGAGGAATTTGTGGCTAAAAAATGAACAATTCAGTATTACAACGGATATATATAAAACTACACAAAAAGCACTTCACAAATGGGCAAAATTTCTGGATTCTTATAATTTATTGCAGTTTTGCACACAATTTTAAAAATGTCAAGAACGGCACACCAAAAAATTACAAAACTAAATACAATTAGAATTTACTCCCCTTGAGAAAAAAAAAGAAAACAAACCCAGCTATGATTGTCAAAGCTAAAATGACTAAAATCATAACAGAAAAAAAAAATCAATCTTGTAATCTCATCAGGGAGCAAATACATCTCAATCCCAAAAAAATATGCTTGTTTTTTTTTTTCTTCTCCAGTGATTGTCCTTTCCCCAATCAAAAACAGCATTTATATGTCCACCTCCACCTCCCAACCCTGCGTAACTTCCTATAAACTGTTTGACTTTTTTTTTCAATTCTTATTGAAACTTAAAAATAAAATTAAAAAAAATACCCCCACCCACCCCTTCAAGTAAGCACAGCAAAAGATGGGAGATGTCATGTCAGGGCGGTCGCCTCACAGAGCGATCATCTCCCCCTCACACTTCAAGAGAGAAATATCTTTTAAATTAAAACCAGCCTGGACTACAGCAGTTTAAGGCGGTCAAGCACAGCCAGAGGAACAAAAAAATTAAAAAAGCAGCAGTAGTAATGAAAACAACAGCAGGATGGATGGAGCCCATATGCAGAGGCACCGCCAGTGAAGAGATAACATTTCAAGACCCCCCCCCCCCCAAAAAAAAGAGAAGATGTGGTGCAAACTGCTGCAATGTCACCCACATTGTTGCGTTGGCAAAGCCTGCAGGTGCCACCAGATGACGGCGGCGTGCATGCGTGCGTGCACGCACACACGCCTGAATTTGAGAGGAGGAGGAGGACATGTTGGCGCGCCTGCATCGCTGCCAAATGGTTTTTGGATTGTACAAACGCTTGACCATCTTTTAAAGAGCAATTGTTAAACTGATGTAGCCCCAACCCAAACACAACAATCACAACGGGAGGGAAAAAAAATCCAATTATCTCATCAAAATAGAGAAGAAAAACATTTGTTAAAATTCATTAAATCTACAGGATTTCCATCAATCATTTCTAAATGCTTTACAGTATCAGATACTTTAACAGCTTTGAAGAAAGGCATCTTTTCAGCAAAATGATGCATTTTAGCTTAAAAAGGTGCGTGGATTTAGGCCAGGGGTCTGCAACCTGCAGCTTTGCAACATCAGCCAAAAAAGGCTAGAAAACTCAGCAGTGCATTTTGTCATTTCATTTTCATGCATTTCCACCACCGAATAAAACTAATGGTACAAGATCATTTTAATCATTTTCATACATATGAAACATTCCTGTCAAGAAAAAAATATACTTTCTTCTCTTGTTAAAGGTTGGTTTTTCCGTTTTGACAAAAATAGGAAAAGTCTGGTTTTCCATAACATGTTTAATTTCTATTTTTAATTGAAGCAAGGACAAATATGGCTCTTTGGATTGTAAAGCTTGCAGACCCCTGATTTAGGCCAATTCTCTCCCATCTTCTTTTAAGGAACTTCTCTAAGATGCCTTATAGGAGCGGCTGCACTGAGATGGGCAACATCAGCCTAAAAAAAGCAACAGTTTGGGTTTAACCTCCTCTTCCTCTCTACGTATCTTTCAGACTTCAGACGAAGCCGCCTTACCAGACCCACCCCCACAAAACAAGAGGTAAAATCTGCAGAGAAAGAAATGGCTTGACCGGAAGCTGAAAAAGACAAGAGAGGATAAAGCAGTGGGGACATTTAATGCCTGAGGAGGAGCAGGAGGACAAAGTGCTGGGTGGATGTAGAGCTTCAGTAGGTTCAATCAACTGGTAAACACACACGCACACACACACACAGCAGAGAAATCAGTGCATAAAGACAGGCTTAAAATGCTTCATGTCGCCTCTCTATAATGTTTCCTCCAGGACCCCGAGCGAGAGACCTACTAGGAGCGAATCAACAGAGACAACTTTTCACCAACAAATGAACTGTTCAAAAACACTCCTACCCCTCCCCTTCTGATTCCAACAAAAAAAAAAAAACTAAACTAAAAGTTTAAGACAAAATCAAAATCCAAATCTTCATGCATTTTTCCTCCCTTTAAAAACTGAGAGTGATAGTTTTTCTTTTTAAAAACAGTTCGCTCCCTGTAGTATTCACAAAAATAGAAGGAGAAAAAAACAAAAGCCTGTTCTCAAATAGTTGATCAATTACAATGTGTACAGTAATACAGCAGATTCACATTTTCATTTTAAAATATACAGGTTTTGGACATCATGCAACAACAGCAGGTCCTGTTACAAAAAAATAATATTAATAATAATTATTATTAAGTTAAAAAAAAATGTAAGGGATTAAAGTCTTTCAACTATAACAGAACAATATACAACAACCTTAAATTAAATACCTTTACAACAAGAGATGTTTTAAAGACTGCCAGCTAGATTCAAGAAAAGAAAAATCATCAATAATAATAATATTTGTAAAGGTCTTCTCATTTTTAGAAAATACTTCAGATTGATTGGAAGTGAAAAAAGGAGGCTGTGCATTGCATGAGTGCCATCGGTTAGTCAGTCAGCTTTCCCCTGAACACACCAACACAACACCAAAGAGCTTAACGAGAGAAGTGGGGAGCGCTCGCCAACGACACCTTCATGCCAGGAGGGAAATCTAATTTAATACACACAAAATGCACTCACACACGCTCACACATGGTAGGTGACTTTTCTTCTTTTTGTGTGTTTGTTTTTGCCAGAGTAGTGCAGAATCGAATGGGAGCAGGCGTACGGATGCCAATGCCGTGCGGGGTGGCCTCACAGTACCCGTTTTTTTTTTTTTTTTATTAGTGTATTGTTTTTCTTTTACTTCAGCATTTTAATATGAACTCCTGTAGAGGAGCGCGCCTTTTGTGGAGCAGGGGGGGGGCGGTTGCGGCGATGGGAGTGTTGTCTCTGGGGTGAAACACAGACAAATGGAGGGAAAAAAAAAACAACTCTTTCAAAAACAGCTAAATAAATAAAAGTTAAATAAAAGACACTCATGGAGGAACGTGTGTCCTCAGATGCAAAAAAAACAAACAAAAAACAAACACATAAAAGAGAACTAACGCCATATGATAACTGGACTTTCACATAAAATAAAACATGACCCCAAACAGACAATAAAATAAGTCAGTAGTAACATTTTTCAGGTGCTATTAAAGTGCGGTTGAATGAGATGTCGCAACGAAGAAGTACATGACTCACTGAAAACCCCGGCTGCTTAACTCTGCCGCCTTCCTCTCACCTCCCCAAGCATCTCTGCCTTTCTTTTTCTCAACCCCAACAGTCTGATTCTACTTCCATAATTCCTGTGAGCTGTCCTCGATCGCCCAATCCCTGACGTTGGGCAGCGCTAGCGGCTCGCTCTTCACTGACAGCGAGTTCACCAGTTCGCAGTGGAACTTGCGGATGTGTCGGTAGAGGTCCCCGGATTGCGTGAAGCGCCGTTCGCACCACTTGCACGCATGCGGCTTCTCGCGTGTGTGCACCACAGCGTGGCGGCTGAGGTTGTGAGAGTACTGGAAGCTCTTGCCGCAGGTAGTGCAGGTGTAGGGCTTTTCACCCGAGTGTGTCCGCTCATGGCGCTTCAGCGTGTACATGCAGGAGAATGTTTTGCTGCAGATGGTGCAGGTGGGAACGTTGACGTCCCCGGCGGGCTTGGAGCGGATGCCCTCCTGCTCCCTGAAGTGGGAGCTGAGGTGAAGCTGGAGGATGTGTGGAGAGGGGAACACCTTGTTGCACAGCGGGCACATGAAGATCTGGGTGTGTTGGGCCGACAGCATGTTGGAAACGTAAGGCAGCAGCGAGTTGTCCATGCTGGCCGCTTCGGCCTGGGCGCGCTCGTTTTCTCCCCCCAGGATGTCCTCGTCGTCTGCTGAGGCTGGAGGCTTCTCATCGCGCTCCAGCTCGGAGGCCAGAGACGCCTCTCTCAGAGCAGACAGGTGAGCCTCCAGACCCAGCCTCCTCTGGGCCGACAGAGGCCCCCCCACCCCGTGGTGGGTCAGGCCTCCGTTGGTGCTGGGAACCTGGGTTTTACTCAGGCCGCTGTGCTCCATGTCATAGTCAGCCCCTCCCAGTTCCTCATCTTCATCTGAGGCGACACCTCTCTCCACCTTCACCCTCACAGTCATTGGGCTCTGCAGGCTGTCAGGTGTAGCTGCCCCGCTGAAGAAGGATGGATGGTGGTTGCTGTGGTTGCTGACAGCAATCGGCTTCACGGACAGGTCCAGGACGCAGTCGGACGCGTCGTTTGAAACCCTTCTGCCTCTGTGCCCGACTCGAGAGCTTATTGAGCGGTGGGACCTCTGGGAGAGAGATCCGGTGGAGCTGCTGGGGCTGCCGGCTGGAGACAGCACCTTCCCTCCCTCCCCCAGGCCTTCACCCGGCTGGGTCTCTGCCTCTACGTGCCCTGGGCTGGTCGTAGCCCCACCCGGCGTCCCTGGTCTGTCCGTGGACGGCAACCTCAGCCACAGCTGGCTTCCCTCAGCCTTCCCCTCCTCTTCTTCATCACTGTGCAGCAGATCGGCGGTAGCAGGCCGGCCTGTTGAGCCATCGGATAAACTATCAGCCTTGTCGGAGCAGCTGGACCCGCCGTCGTCCTCTCTGCGAGTGCTGTCTGCCTCTGCGGTGGCCTTTTGCTTTAAGCGCTTCTTACACACCTTGACAATGTCATACATGTGCAAGTAGCTGGCCGCCGCTAGCACATCCTCCACGGGAAGGTCCTGGAACTGAAGCTTGCCTTCATACATGAACTCCAGGAGCAGGGAGAAGGCCGGTGCAGTCACGATGTCGCTGTTGAGGTGCACCACGTCCCTCTTGTCCAGCTGGTCCTTGTAGAACAGGTGGAAGTACATGCTGCAGGAGGCCAGCACAGCGCGGTGGGCACGGAACTGGACATCGCCCACCAGCACCGTAGAGTCACACAGGAAGCCCTGGTGCCGCTGCTCGCTCAGACACTGGAGTAAATGTCTGCTGTGGTCTGGGAACTCCATCCTGCCGTCCTCATAACCTGTAGTGGAAAAGACAGAAACGTAAGCGCATCTTCGTCTCGTACGGCTTTTAAATGAAAAGAAGCAGGAGCACAAAGCACATAATGAAGCTTTTAACACAGCTAATGTTTGAAATATTTTAAAACCCTCGGAAATCTGTTAGGATTTCAGTTAAATTCAAATTTAAGACTTTGTTAAATTTAAGACTTAAATAACTAAGGGATTAAACATGCAGTTCTACAACTAGTTATATTTTAGAAGTTGATCAAGCAAAAGACGGAAGAAATGTCATCAACACACATGGTGCAGAAAATTAGGAAAAAATGACCCACAACAAATAAAATGACAAAAGATAAAAAATTTATTTTCTTAAAAAAATTTAAATACCTTGAATGAAAACAATTTTTTAAAGATAATTCTAGTCATAAAATGAACACAACATTTTTAAATTATTGCCCACGTTCTATTGGTAAATATATCATTTATTTAAATAAATTTCAGTCAAATTGAAAGGAATAAGAAAAAGAGGTACAAAAATGTAGTGAAACCAGTGAAATAGAGGAATTCAGAGAGTCTGTAGATTTCTTGTCATTTTTCTTTATGAAAAAGACTTTTCACTCAGACAAACCACCAGAGACGGATTCCTGCATCACTCCAACTCCTCTGCTTGCACTCCTGGATTGTCATGGCTCCTACGCTGGTTATTTTTATTAACCCACTTTGGCCTGGCCTGGCACAGCCCTTTTAGGTAACCAGCTTTCAGCTGTGCGCTCTGTCCTCGCTCACAACACAAACACACACACTCTTGAGCAGCAGCCTACCTGCCTACCTACAAGCCACCTCCACAGACTAAGTCGGGAGGAAAAAAAAAATAAAAATAGCCGACTGAAAAAAAAAAAAAGAAGAAAAGACTGTCCAGAAATGAAAAAGCTTGTCCATCGTTTAACCTGTGAGGATCTGTGATAAAGACTAGATGGAGAGGATAAAATAAACTACAGCTCTGTGATCAGAAACAGGTGAATTTTACGCGATTCAGCTCCTTAGAATATGAAGAAAAGACAAATAAATTGAAAGGAGTAAAAAGTCCCACCTGTTAACCAAGTCGATTTGTCCTGCCTGAGAAAATACATGGGTCCCGCTCTGCGCCGTGTTACCCGAAGCAGTTAAATCACCTCATTTGAATGAAGCTGAACCAGGAATGTGAGCGTGTGCGTCTGCGGGTTGCGTACGTGTGTGTGTGCTCGCCCTCCGGCTCGCTCAGACTGCTTTTAATGAGGCGACTTACAGGGACAAGGGTGTACCACCTCCCACCTCCTCCTCCTCCCCCCACACCCAACCCCACCCCTCTGTCCAGCCAACCCCCCCTCTGCCGCCTCCTCCTTAGACAGAAACACACACACACGATCCGTCCGTCACCTACACACTCCTTCTCTATGAAAAAAAAAAAAGTCTGAACATCCGCCCCACAGAAGAAACTGCCCTCTTCCTCAACCCTCCCATCCACCCACCACCAAGAAGAGAAGATTTACAATACAATCACTGTAAGTGCCCTGCTCGTCACAGCATCAATCCTAATCCTTAAAGATGGCTAAAAATAAAGACGGCGGCGGGAGCAGGGAGGGAGCCGGCGGCGGAGGCTCAGGAGGGCCCACCCTGCCCTGCCCTGACCCGGTCCGGCCAGCCGACTCGCTCAGCCAGGGGTCTGCGAGGGGGAGATGCACACAAACACAAGAGGGGCAGGGAGGGAGCGGCCGGGACGGCCGGGGAGGGAGGCTTACCCACATCTGATCCAGCTGACGGGGGCCATATGGCAGCTGCTAGCCAGATAAAGAGATTAAGACTAGGAGGGAGTGCGATTACAGCTGTCTAGCCAATTCAGGCAGCTCAAATCTGCAACTTCTAAATTAGTCTCCTCCACTCCAGCCGACAGGAGGGGGGACAGCGGGTTAGAGCGCACCGCACATGCTTTCAAGTCATTTCAAAACGGGACTTATTCGACTGAAATAGGACGCAAAAAAATTTATATTAGGAATAAATAATCACTCTTTTTAGTTTTAAACTTTAGTGGTTTAATTTAATAATGGATATTTTTTATTTTTAATAATATTCAAACTACAGAAAAAGTTAATAAAATGAAAAAGTTTGCTCATGCTTTTCACTTGGATTATATACATGGAGAAAAGGGTGCGCAAACAGGCAGTTAGACAGCAACAGCTTTAAATTCAGCTAAACTGGAGACAGCAGCAGCAGCAATTACCCACCCGACAGGCAACACCAACTACTTTTACCGTTTACCGCTGAAGCACCCACTATCATCTTCACGCGGCGCTCAAACAGGTTTGACATGCAGGAAAATCCACAGAACAGAAGATCTGCTCCTCCATCCCGGGACTATTTCTAAGCACACAAACAAGAACCACAGAAAGGATACCTGCAGCAGTACGCATCAACTTGATTAACTCCAGTGTGGCAGGATAGCCGGGCTCTCTGACTGGCCGCGTATCCTTCTCACTGTGAATCAATGAGTGGGTAGAAGAGCAGAGAAGAAGATGAGGGGAGGCTGGCGGAAAAAAATAAACCCAACCGAAAAAAAAAAGCAAAATAAAAAAAACCCAAGGAAAAAAACAAATAAACAAAAAAAACAACAACAGCACGCTGTTCAAACTGCAAGGGACAGATGCAAAGTGGAGGAGATGTTGGAGGGGGAACGAAATACCACCTCCCTCCTCCTCCTTCTAACCGGCACTGATCGGCGCGCACACACACACTAAACGCAGCACTAACTCTCCCAGGCTGCCGCTGAGACTCACAATAAAGGATTGGGGAGGGGGAGGGGGGGTGGAGGGATGGAGGAGGAGGAGGTGGGGTGGATGGCAGCCTGTCAGCTGCTCTGACATCATCCTCAGATGGAGATGCTACCTCCAGCTGTGCTCTTTCTACAGCCATATGCTGCCTCCTCTACACTCCTGCCACCAGACTCCTCTTTCATTCTACCAACACTCCACAACTTTGTCCCCCCCCTTCCCTTTTTCTCTCTATCTGGGAAGAGGAAAAAAAAGCTACAAAATGCAGTGGGATGCTGATTTGTGTCATCATTAAACAGAGGAGTGCTGCTTTCCAGTGAAAAGGGGAAAGTTTGCAAAAATCTACACCAGAAAAAAACAAGAAAGAAATCCAAAATGTTTTGTTTGCTATTCTTTCTGTTTTGGATGTTTCTTCTTCTTCTTTTTTTTTTTTTTTTAAACCTGTTCCTTCTTCCAGTAACTATAAACAATGGCCACCACAGCATATTTGCAACTGACGAACACACGCAGCTGATATTGTTTCCCACTTTTTTACGGTTCAGCGCCGCTGTGCTTGTCTTGTATTCATTCATCCCGTGGTATTATTCATTCATCAAGCCATACACCCGTCCCCACCAACCCCCCAATCCGTCCCCTCTCTTCGGGCAAGGATGAAATGAAGGCAAAACAATGGGAACAAGTCATAAATAAGGAACTCTGACAAAAAAAAAAAACAGACAGGGAAACTTATTACAAACTCTTTTTTTCGCTTTCACTTCAGGTTTAAGCGAAAGTGCACAATTTTGGCATGGCCTGATCTGAGATGATGCATTTCATTTGGTTATAATCAAACTGTATTAAACATAGAAATGAAGTTAACTTCTTAAACACTACAGACACGTGAACATTATACAATACATTATATTTGTGTTAATTTAAAGCAGTTTGGAGCATATTTGGTGCCTGAACAGCATTTCCAATTAAACCTTTTAAAACAGCTGGCTGGAATTGTACAGCAACAAGTGAGGGAGGGGCATTGCTGGTTAGTTTGTAATTAAAACTAATTCAAATTATTTTAAATAGTAGGAACATAGTAATAGATTTTTTTTTTGTTAGTTTTTGAGGTGCTAAACCTTAAAAATAGCCTTTTTGTACATTTAAAGCATCCAACTGAAGTTGATGTTCTACTGTAGGAGTCTGAATAAAAACATTTATAAAGCTCAACTAAATGTTTGTGCTTTTTATTGTTTATATTATTAAAGTACTGCTTTATTAGATAGTAGTGTTCTAAAAAAAACTTTAAATTAACTTAATTAACTAGAGACACATCTTGAAACAGTCATTTCTTTTCTAAAGAAGTTAATAACCATGTAATAAACTGAGTTATTGATAAAGTTGGTTTCTTGAGCTCTGTTAATGTTTTTGTTTGCTAGGAAAATTAGCTTAAAGTCCAGTAAGTGGTAATGTTAGCGCTAGCGAACGGAAGCAGGCTGCTGATTAATTTCTCCCCAGATGCACAACAAACAAACCTGGAGACACCCTGACCCACGCAGCTAGCTGTAGCCCCGCACGCGGCTAGCAAAAGTGCTCCGGTAGTCCTGAGCTATTTACGGTTGTTCCGAAGGCCCCGGTGCTATGACAACAGCTGGTGAAACACCGCGGAGGGACGGCGAGCATAGCGACCGTTAGAGCGAAGAGACAACACGGTCATGCTAAGGAAGGTTTAGCTACTTTCCCCCCTCCTCCTCCTTTAATAGGACTCCCCGTATCGGGAGGGCAACACTTACAGACAACAAGGTTCTCCCCCCGTCAAATCTTCCTCTTCTTCTTTTTTCTTCTCTTCTGGAGACCAAACTAGGTTGACTTTGGTTTAATTTCCATAACAGGCTGCCAGAGGGCGAGCAGGCGCTGTGCGGGAACCGGGGGAGTGGAGCACTCTGCGGCGGCCAGATGTTTCCGAGCTTGTTGCTGCTGAACTCGAACCGAGGCGAGTTGGCTGTGTGGCACGGCGCGGTGCCGGCGAGGAGGAGGAAGAGGAGGAGGAAAAAGAAAGTGAAGGCCGTCTCACAGAGGAGGAGAGAGGAAGGGATATGTCTTCTTTTTCTCACGTTGGCGTAGGCTGACAGCAGCCGCAGCAGCAGCAGTTCACTCACTCAGTGAGGAGGCAGGAAAAGAAGACGCTGGGCCAAACCAACTGGTTCTGCGAGTCAGCGGGGCGGACTCACTGGTGGAGAGAGGCGCGAGGCGCTCTGGGTACTGTAGTCAGGGAGGAAGGTGGTGGTGGGGGGTGGAGACTGATAAGAGCAGGTGCACCACCTTGACTGAGGGAACAAACAGCTGGTTTCAATGGAGCCGGATACTTCTTAATGTTTGACTGTTGGAATAACAGGAATACACACACAGGTCTTAATCAGTGGCTGAACAGCTGTGCCTCCACCAGAAGTGCCTGTTTAGTCCTCATAATGAGTAAACAGATGTAATAAATTAGTCCTATGATACCACACTGCATTTGTAAGCAAATCTGTTTTTTTTTTTTTTTTTGTCGATCTTTCATGCTTTGATACAACTATAAAGATTTATTTTTTGGGAGAATTGTAAATCTTAGCCAATAAAATATAGCAATTTTTAAAAAATATTAGATACTTTGTTGATAAATTATGCATACATAGCTTGGGTTCAACGAAACATGGGTCAGATGGGTTTTTTTTCTTAAATTTACTGAGAAGTGTCATTGGTCCAATTTGGGTCAGATGTGTTAGATAAAGGACACATCTAAAAGTTGCAGGATAACACCCCGCTGGATCTAGAATTGCTGATCCTGGTTCCAGCTGTTCCAATTCATGGAAATCAACTCAAACAGCTTTTTTTTTTTTTTTTTTAAGTATTAACATTACTGACATTATTTGTGTGAAAAATCTTAGCTATATATTTCAAATGGAAAACCGAGATCATTGGTGTAGTCACCTTTTACAGTATTCCCATTTACTGTGCATATATGCACACTTACATACATATATATGTATATATATACAACCATTAACCAAGCAAAAAATGGGAAAATATGAATGAATAATTATGTAAATCAATAAAGGTTTGAACAAACAGCAGCATTAGATTTTCTTCCATATTCAGAAATAGTTGTATGAAAACTTAAGAAAAAAAAGTAACTGTGTTGGAGCATCAATGTTGATTTCTTATCCAGCTTTAAATAGTTTAGCGAAGGTGGTACTATTAAAGCTGCTAGCAAGCTTAGTTTCTTAACCTTTAGAGAGTTTATAACGCCTCAGCTGGTGCCATTAGAGAAAAAGCTCATACTCCCTCGATTGAAGAGTTTTAAAGAATTTCTAACCATTCAATAAAGTTTCAGAATTATCCATTTATAATTAAGGCATACAGTACAATGAGAAAGTTATTAGTCTTCAGTGGTATGTAAAACATTTTTTTCCAGATAAGCAGTATTGGAAGTGGAATAAAATCAAATGATTTGTTACTAAAAGCAACCCTTGTTGTGTCAAATCGTCTTTGGAGCAAAAATGAAAGATAAAATGCATTGACTGTTTCCTATAAGTGGGTGAAAAATATCGGATCAAAAACAGAGCAGCTTTGCATGGAAATCGGGTGAAAATGTAGCAGCTTTCTGTGTTGGCTGAGAGGTTTTAGTTCTCCCAGGAGACGCATGACTGGCACTTTAATGGGAGACCTATGACTCGCTTTGCCTTGTAACACCAGGACTTAGCGTAGTAAGGCCTGTTTAACCTGTAAGTGGATGTTTACAGCAATCTATTTCTTCCATATATATATCAGTTGTATAACTTGCACACTCACTGACACTTTAACCCAAAATAACCTGATAGATATTTACTGATTTACATCACAACCACATGCATCAAGCATCAAACCAGGGCCTCAGCACCAATTTACAGATTTGTCAGAAAACTTATTCTTTTACAAATCCTGCACCTTGCATGTTTGTTTTAAAAATCTCAGATGTGGGTCACTGGGACAAAAACCCTTTCATCACATTTCTGCTTGTTAACAGAGCCTTGACGTTAAAAGAAAGAGAGAAAAAAAAAAAACGTTTGGGCCGGTCTGGTCGCCTGTGTGTGTCTGCAGCCCTATTTGCATTCCTCAAACCTGTCCCACTAAACTAATTGGCGTTACTAATAGATGGCTGGATGAACTGCAGCCCTGTATGGTAATGAATTCACACAATTTGGTGTCATCGCTGAAGGACTAGTTAAAATGCAAATGAATGACAGGCCTGTTATGTGTCTATCAATTTGGGGATCCGTGTTACTAGCATGTTACAATGAACCCCTTGTTCATGCATGAAAGTACAATTAGGCTCAACAAGAGTATGGACAGCGAGCCTATGGGGGAAAATTTGATTTTAGGGGCAAAGTTTGCAAAACTATGAGCTAATTTGGATGATAAATGTAAAGCAGTGCTGCTGTTTCAGTAGTATCTGGTTCTTGTTTAGAGTATCCCTTCCCATCGTGTTGGAAGATGCTCTGAAATGTGGTCTTTGCATCCCGCTCAAGGAGTTCCCATGCAGAAGTTTTCCCAAACATCTGACACCTTTCCTGTTCCCCCCTCCCTCCCAATTCACTCATTGTTTCTCCACAACAGATGCCAGAACAGAGGGATGTGTGTGTTTGTGACCCGGAAAGCAGTAAGAGACATACTGAGAGTATCTGTAAAGAAACCGTCTCATCCTCCTGATATAGCTGAGAAAGAATCGCGCAGCAGAAAGAAAGTAAACTGAAAAGCACTGATGTGCAAAGCATAAGTTATAATCAAGCATCTATTTAGAGATTAAGTCAACAATTTTTACATAAAACAGTGAAGAATGACCTAAAAATTGTCTGAAATGTTTTGGGACATTGCAAAGTTCTTCAGATATTTACATACTGATACAAGTAGTTTAGGAAGTTCCTCCTTTAGGAATGGAGACAGCAAATATATTTTTAAATTT